TAACCACAGTTAACCATTTAATTATTTTCATTTAGCCATCTTAGGTCCTAATCATTCTCTTTAAGCCTTTTATCCCTTCTATTAGCTTCAATACATTCCACATCAAAATTTCACGCTTTTTAATTTATCAATTTAAGCGAAATTAAGCTTACAACTTCAAAGCTTAACCATTAATTTCCAAGCCAATCACAAAATTTTAGTTTAATTTTTAAAAATATTTTCATTACCCAAGGGTAAGAAAATAACCCCCTTAAAACTCCCTAATTTAATTTTTTTATATCCTAAACCAAAAGAAATTTTCGTAGAATAGGAGTATAGAGCGGTATGAAACTTACCTCGTAAGTGATAGGTCAAAACTTACCCTATCATTCCAAACTTCTTTACCCTAGTAGACCAAAATCCTCCTCCTCTCTTTTGTGCTCTTTCTCCTCTTTTCCTTCTCCTTCCACAAGCTAACCCACATCTTACTTATCTAAATTCTGAGTCATGCATTGCGGCCATACATCATACGCCACGGTGTGTGGCATAGTAAGAGAATTCTTATTGTGACTTAGATGCTTCAACCTAGATCGCTATTCTTCCACTCCATCATATCCATTCAATCAATCATCAACCCAAAAAGTCATTCCACCATCCAAAATTGTAATCATTCAATCAATCCACTAATTAACTAATTTATCCTTAATTAGCAATTAGTTTTTGGACTTAAAATTCAGGATGTTATATAAAACATGTTGGAAGTGGCTTGTGTGAGATCTAAGGGTGATATTTTTATTAAATAAGGACAAACATGGAAAAGGCAATATCAATTTAAAGACAATTAATTAACTTACTGAGATATATGATTCGGTTAAATTTTTTTTAATAAAGGGAGTATATTTTTTTAAAAAAAGTGGCCCCCTCAACCTCAAGCCTAGTTTCGCCCCTATGGATAAAATGCTCCCTTTGTCCTTATATATAAGGTGTTTTTAACCGAATCTTGTATACCAATAAAAGTTTGTTATTTATTTGAAATCACTTAAAATCGCATAATTTTCTAGTTTTACTCCTAATAATGTCACAATAATATCATGGTGGTAGTGGTGGAACACACAATTAATAGGGACAATAACAGTTAGGTCCCAACGGATTGAATTAATGATGGTTAGATTCTCGATAAAATTTTCTAAAAAATGAATTATAATTATCAATTCAAACAGTTATAAACAAAAGTTCTTATTACAATTTAAGAGTTATATTTAATAATTAAATTCATATTTGAAATTAAAACTTCTAGATTTGTAATTATTTGGACCAATATTTTCCCTTTATTTTTCAAAAAAAATTATTGAAGACTTAACTGTCATTAAATTAATGTTCTGGAATCTAACTGTCATTCTCCTCAATTAATATCTCCTCCATTTTTTAAGAAAGAGTAAAATTATCTAATTATTTAAAAATATCATAACACCTATTATATTTAGAGATAAAATAAACTTTTAAAAAATATTTTATGTACAGGGATGAAGAGAGTATATATTACTATTACGTGTTTAGGTTTAAGACTAAACCGATGCATCATCACGACTCATACATACATTACCAGCTCACTCTATCATCGCGTGGAAGATGTGCACTGGATGACCAATTCTGCATTGATGTGCAATATGCTGACGGCAATCACCATGAGTTTATTGATTGCTTATAATTTAAAAGTTTTATAAATAATTCTACTTCAAATAATTTTCAGTTTTTTTCTTAATTCGTATTATAAAAAAATTAATTAAAATTTTGACTCACGAGAGAGAGAGAGAGAGAGAGAGAGAGAGAGAGAGAGAGAGAGTTGATTTCATTTTAGTATTTATATTTTTGTTATAAATCAAACATATTCATGCGTAGAATATTCAAATGAACTATAAATAATTGTATTAAAAAAAATAAAAGAACAAATTGACTCTTAAACTATAAGTTCAAGAGTATCTAGGACCTTATAGTCCTAAAGTATTTGGAATCCTAAACTCTTTTTTGGTGCAACATTGTCCTTTAACTTTCGAAAATGATGCAATTGAATTCCTACTATTAACAAAATTTAATTTTGACCGTTAGTTAAATAAAAAATCAAACAAAAAGATTTCAAAACTTATTAAAAAAATGAATAAAATTTCATTGGCCATTTTTTAAAAATTTTTTAGGTTATTATATGTAATTTTTTGTTCTTTTACTTTTAGTTGTGACAAAAAAATGACCATCAATTGTCCACTTTTGGAGATGGCTTTTAATTGGTTCCTATTATAATTAAGGTAACCTCTAATCACATTATTAGAATTAAAAAGAGGTGGTTAAGTTATTAATTTTGTCTAAACATGTAAAAAAAATTTATTTTACTTATATTTAAATAAAAAATTTGTATTTTTGCATTATATTCTTTCTCATGATTAATAATTTTAAATAGAAATAATACTAAAACAATTAAGTAATATCCATCAAGTGACTTAGATAACAAGAACTATCTATTTCTTTCCAAAATATATCCTTTAATAACGATTAAAGAGAGTATAATGTGTGATTTCTTATAGATCATACACACACACATATATAAATCCGAAGTTATTGATAGGGGTAACAGTAGTCAAAATAGATAAATGTAATATATGTGTTTAAGTGACACTATGGTTATTTATTGGCAAAACTTAAACCTAGGTCCCACAGAATAGATTTAATTATAAAGAAGTTTTATAAATTGCATAAAATACTCTCAAATTTTAAATCATGCGTATTTACAACTTAACAAAGGGCATTAACAATTAAGCAAAAGGCATGTACAACTTGCAAAGAAAAATGATAATTTGTGATAATAAGTTGTAAATGTCCTTTATTAGGTTGTAAGTGTGCAGGATTTATAATTTAGGTGTATTTTATGCATTTCATAAAAACTTTGGGTAGTTAAATATCTTTGATCTGTGGAACTCAGGTGTAATTTTCCTCATTTATTGTGGAAGATGTGGATTGGATGACCGATTCTCCATTGACAAGTGAAAAAAAAAAAACAAGAAAATTCTTTCTAGGCAATGGAAGAGAGTTGATTTATGGGCATACTTTAGAAACATATTTTTTCTCAAAGGCTGTGGAAGAACTCACGTACCACTGACGAAGAAACAGCATGTGTTTTTTGGCTTTAAATTAATTAACCCATCATAAATAAGACTAGCTCCTCTTTGGATGAGAAAAAAATATGGGAGGAAAATAATTTTTTCTTGTTGGGATGGTCAAAGAAAAATGGGGAGAAAATTAAGATATAGGACCCACCACATTTTTTTCTCAACCTTTCTCTCCATAAGTGGAGAGATTTTGAGAAGAAAATAAATATTTTTTCATGAGACCTTTGGGCAATTAAATATCTTCTATCTGTGGGACTTAAGTGTAATTTTTCTTATTTATTGTGGAAGACATGGATTGGACGATCGATTTTGCATTGACGAGTGGAAAACAAACAAGAAAATTCTTTATGGGTGATGGAAGGGAGTTGATTTATGGGCGTACATAGAAACATTTTTTTTTAAAGGCTATGGAAGAACTCACGTACCGTTGATGAAGAAATTGCATGTGTTGCTTGGCTTTACATTAATTAACCTATCACAAATAAGACTAGCTTCTTTTTGGATGAGAAAAAAATATGGGAGGAAAAAAACGAGGGGAGAAAACAGGGAGGAAAATAATTTTTTCCTGCTTGGACGGTGAAAGAAAGATGGGGAGAAAATTAAGGTATAGGATCCATTACATTTTTTTCGCAACTTTTCTCTCCATTAGTGGTGAGATTTTGAGAAGAAATTATCATTTTCGCATCCGCCCTCACCTCTCTTTCCTTGATAAAACACTCACATCATGGTCGCTCCTTCATTCTGATTCACCCACACATTGGGACCGTAGGCTTTCCTGTGATCCTGTCTTCATCTTCAAACTCCCGGCTTCGGACTCCATTTTGGACCTCCACAAATGGAGGACTTGTATGTGCTACTTGTTTTAATTTGAAATTTCTTATGTGCTGTTTTTTTTTTTTTTCATTCCTTGTCATTTGGTGTTTATTAGTTCGAAATAATCTTTTCTTCTATGTCCTCTAATTGGTATTTAGTAAGGAACAATCTCTTATTGCTTGATTTTATTTTTAAATTTGTAAATAAAAAATTATTTTTTTATTTTTAAACTATTATATTTTATTTTAAAAAACTATCCATTTTGGTGTTTAAGTATAAAAAATATAAAAATATAATTTTTGGCCAAATAGTTTTATTTCATAATATTTTGATGGATTTTAATATGATTTTTTCTTCCTTGTATTTTAATGGAACAATGACATAATATATCCAAATATAAGGGTATCATTATCATTGTGGTTTTTTCCTATTTTCTTTCGTCTATGTTTTCCTCTGTCCATCCAAATACAGGAAACGATAATATTATCTCTTCAGTTTTCTCTCCTCTCTATTTTGACTCCTCTTATTTTCTTTCCTCTTAACTTTTCTTTCCATTCAAATGGAATATAGATGTGGATGGATGTGGAGTAAGAGTCAGCTTTCACTTGATCAATACTTCAAAAGGAGACTTGGGCCAATTCAAATGCAGAATCAATACCTTTCTTTTTTAATAAATAACTACATTTTTCAAATAAAATTTCTAAACTAATTTATATTTATGATCAGCATTTATATTGCTCAACTAAGAAGAACTTGTTATAGTTTAACCAGTGATTTTGGATTTGAGCCTCAATATCCAAGTTTCATTTCAATTAGTTGGGGTCCAGTGGTGGTTTGATACTAAAAAATATTTTACACTATTTGTATATATAGATAAATAAACTAATTTCATAACACAGATCTCACGGAACAATAAGAGTCACAGAGAAGTGATGGATGCCACCCAATAAAGACAAATCTAATTTGTAAGGATTTGACTCTTAATTCAAAAGGTCATGGGATTGTTAATTAAAAGGAAAAAGAATTGATGGATCAAAATATTAAGGGAGAACTACATATATGTTTTATATAAGAAAATAAATTACTACAAGATTCATTAACAGCTGAATGTAATTCTCTCATATTACTAGCTAAAGGTAGTCTGCTGAACACAGTGATGTTAGATTAGTGATATGAAGGCAGTCTTGGAATATTTCTACAGGCCATACTTTAGATGGATCAAGAAAATTGTTTTTTGGGGAGGGGGGAAGGAAAAAGAAGATTTGATTTAACTATAAATCAATAAAAATGCCTGGATCAAATTCTACATTCTCTTCAATCCAAAAATATGATTGGTCAGCCAGGAAATAACCTAAGACGGCTGGTTATTGGCTTTCGACATATATGGCAGTTGGAGATTGTCAACATACAGTCCCCACAAGTCTGCATCAACATTATTTAATAATCATCATTTTCATGCATAGCAACCAAGAAAATCACTAAAATATCTATTCATCAACCACGATAGAGCTTACCATGTGTCCACATCCAAAGGCCACGTCCTTTTCATTTGTCAGACAAATTGCACAAGCCTGCACATCAATGTCAAAGCAGTTCTGGCTTCAGTAGTCCATCTACATTCTTCTAGATATGTTTATGATGGAGACTTACAATAGATGGGATGTCAAGTCTCACATTGAGCAGTATGAAATATTCAATGAGATATTTAAGTGAGTTAGTACTCTCACCTCAATAGCTAGTTTTCAAAATAGAGTTTTACATTTCACTTAAATACCCATCAGTTTATAAATAGATCAATATTTTCATCCTTCCCCAACTCACTTAATATTAACAAGACAAGCACGAACAAAGTGAGGAAACCAAATATACCTTATAATCATCAAATGAGTTGATTTCCTTCTCGAGAACAGAGAGATTTTCCTGAAGGATACACCAAAACAAGACGTGATAAAGTCAACTGAAAATGAGAGATTCTTATATACATAGTTTTTTGAAAATAGTTATATTAAGCTATCTTATCTTATCCATAGTAAAATATTTCCAAAAAATTCACTGTTCCATGAACAGTGACAGTGCCATAGGACCTACAATCTTTTTTAACTCAATTGTTTCTTTATCATTTTTTTACAATATTTTTTAATTTAATCCTCGTGCATCACATGGAGCATTTTTTAGTCAGAAGTAAATATAAAATCTGAAATGAATAAAGGATGGGGACAAACAAATACACACCTCAGCAGCAGCAGCAGCAGTAAGGGCATTGACTAACTCTAGTTCCTTCATTTCCACTTGTCTCATGGAACTTTGTCTTATCTCCTCACATTCCATCTTTAGCAATTTTACAAGCTCTCTCTCTTCAGCTAACTCTTTCATTGCCTTCATCCATCCATTCTAAATATTCAAGTTACCAATTCATAGTACATTAGTACAAGTACGCCACATGAATATAAACATACTATGATTGTTACTTTGATGACTTGCATTTTGAGATGCCCTGTATTCTAGTTATATCAGCCTTTACTAATGTGTTTTGACAATTTCACTTAGAGTCATGTTTTAGGACTGAAGAAAAATACCAACATCAGCTACTACCTCAGCATGCTCAATGCTTTTGCGAGCATTGGCTAACTCTTGAGTTAGCTTTTCAGCATCTCTCTTGGCTGTCTGTACTCCATCATCTTGCTCTAGTTGAAGCCTTTGCATTCTCTCTTGTTGCAGTTCTCTCCTTAGTTTACCACATTCAGTCTGTTAAAAACAGCTAGGGCTTCAGAATGATGATAAGGCAAGATAAGAAAGATCCGGGTAAGGCACATAAAAATAGACCTTTAGTATCAGAATATTTTCTTCTTGTTTTATCCCTTCAGCAATTCTTGCTTCCTCTGCAATCTGCATGGTGGTCATCAGATCAAACCACATATTTTAATATATTAGTATGCCCAAATTTGAACTATATATAGCCAATTAATCAATCATTTTACAAATTACAACAACTTTTCATCCGCTGATCTTGTTGAGACAAATGATGAAATAGATTTGAATCTTCCTCTTGAAAGATCCTAAAGTGGCATTATTTGGTCTAGTGCATTTAGAACTTTAGTCTTGTTTGACCCTTTTTTTACTGATCTGTCTTGTCTTGTCTCAAAACATTCGTGACATGAAATCATTTGAGGGGTGGATTTAAAGTGAAGTTCTTATTTCCACTTGTATTTAATTCTTAATGTATGACAGTAAATCATTTGTTTTTCACAGAATACACAATGGTTGTTGTTGGAAATAGTAAATCATTTCCTATGGATATTAACTTCTTCTTCAAGTATGATTATCAGTCAAAAGGGACAGCGAAAAGAAAAAAGAAAAAAAATTAATATAATATGAGAAACTGACCTCCAGCATTTGGATATATTTTTCTTGTTTTCTTCTCTCTGCAACTCTAATTTCTTCAACTTTTTTCATGGACTTTCTTGTGATCTCCTCTACTTCTAGTTTGAGCCTTCTTACTTGTTCCTGCCCTTCCATCAATTCTCTCCTTGCCTTTGCAAATTCACTCTACAAGTCAACAAATTGTCCATGAAAATGTTAGGTTTCATGCAATGAACATCATCATTATGAACTAAATAAGATACCAGAACTTAATTCCTACAACAACAACAACAACAAGCCTTTATCCCACTAGGTGGAGTCAGCTATATGGATTGCAAGACGTCATTGTGCTCTATCATTTATCAAGCTTTTAGGAATATTATTAATTAAGAGATCACGTTCAATAACTTCTAAGAGTGTTCTCTTAGGCCTTCCTCTACCTCTCTTAATCAGACTCAAAGTTATATGTTTCACTCTTCTCACTGGTGCCTCCCTTGGTCTTCTTATATTCCTAATCAACATTAAATTGTTCCCTTATATTTCTTAAAATTTTAGTGTACTATCAAAGCAGTAATGGTGATCTACTGGTGCTAAATGGATTTGTGTTTTATGATCAATTAATGGTCAATTAGTTTAAATTTTAAAACTTGCACAAGATTTGATGGGTGTGTTGTTTTCTCCGTATTGCCAATCCAAATATCTTAGATTTGAGATAGTTCGTTAGATATTTTGAGTAAATTGGACAAATCTTCCATAAATTTTGATGAAATTACAAAGATTGCTTTTCTATATTTAGATTCAAAATAGATATTTATCAGTTTTACTAAAAATACACATCTCTATTATTTTTCACAACATACAAAGATCTTCCACTAAACATAAGTTTGTGTAATCTTAACAAAGCTTATGAGAATTTCATATTGCCATTTGATATGTATTACATTCTATGCTTCAAAACAACAACATGCAACAAGCAAATATCATTCATAGTGAAATGGTGTTAAATTAAATGCATAAAAACACCTATAAGACAAGCATATATGTATGTGTTTCATAAGCTTAATTATGATCACCTGGTTTTCATCAGACTCTCTCATCAAGTTGCCAAGTCTTCTGCTGACAAAACTTGTTCGAGCTGACCAATTGCCGCACTCTGATTTTAACAGTGAAATCTCTTTCCTGACAAAAACACACGCAACAAGATGATTAGGATATCTTCATCTTCATCCAAATTAATATTTTACATGTTATTACTCTATTATCAATAGACACGCAAGATTTCCTGTGCAGTGCATTGGTATTAACAATATCTTGTGTATTACATAATACCAAGAGTTATTCATCTAGGCTCTCTATAAGGTTTGAATCCCTGATTTTGCATTAGAGGTATAATGTCCCTATAGTTTCATTTTTGTTGTCCTCAGCCCCTTTAATTTGATTAATCTGCAATATTAGTCTCTATAGTTTTAAAAATGCACATAAAAACCATGAGTTAGCACTGATGGAGTTAATTTCACTATAACTCTACTAATCCCTTTGCTAGCATGGAGATAAATTGACCAAGTATGATTAAAAGTAAAAGGTAGAAGGAAAGTTTTCTTTCATATTTACCTTAAACAAAATGCAAGAGATAAAGGGGCGATGTTAAGCGCACGCTAGCAAAGAGATTAACAAAGTTAAGTATACATTAGCAAAAGTAACTTCATCGAAGCTAGCTCATGATCCGTATATGCATTTTTAAACCTATAAGGACTAACATTGTAGGTGAATTAAACTAAAGAAACTGGAAATTATGAAATATGTATTTTCCCTTGAAATAATAAGAAAGGCGAACTTTACATGGACTTAACTAGCTCCTCCTCAAGATACCTCACCCTTTGCTCACTCTGCTCAAGGGCTCTCGTAGTAGCATCCTGCAATAAATTTAAAACAAAAGCTAAATCATCACTTTATTGTTTCTTAGAAGATAATGTCCAATCTGACTTACAGTGGCAATGATACCTCAGAACGTTCAATCAAAGGATTGGTGTTGGTGTTTTCTTCTTCTGAATCAGGTAGCCAAGCAATGACAAAACAAGTGACTCGAAATCAGTGAGGAAATGGTAAATTAACAGGACAATCACACTGTTCTCCTACCATTTTCTTGGCAGAGTCATTCTGTTAATTTTTCTTTTACTTTAAAGTTTTTCATGTCTATTTCTTGTATAGTTGGATTTTGTTTTGAATGGAGAATAAATGTGATACAAAGACAAATTAACATATGTAAAAATTACCTAATTATCTCAATCTTATTATTATTTTCAAGAAATCCCTGTTTTGCTTGAAAATTAAAATTAAAAAATGATGCCATTAAATATTAAACAATAATTAATATATAATTAATATTATTTCAAAAATTATAACCGCCACCTAAGGTAGATCCCAAATTGTCCTCCAATGTAAAAGAAATGAAATCGCATTTATGGGGTAAGACTTATTGTTGTTGTTTGCATTAGACATTGAAGATTGTTTATCATTCCTGACTTCATCTGCTTCAATATAGGTCACTGTCGTCTGACAATTACTATCCTGCAAACCTCAAATTAAAAAGTCAACTTGGTGTTAGAACAAGGTTATTATATTATATTATATAACCCATATTATATAATATTTTATGGTCAATCTCCATTTTTACTATTCATTCAATTTATAAAAGAAAAGAAGCACCAACTGATGGAGAAAATATCAACATCCAGAATTAATTGGAAGTTTGGAATGAAAATCATGATAGATAAAAATTGGACTAAATCAATTTTTTATAAATAAACTATAGATCAATCCAATTTTTGTCATTCTATAATATGCCGTTATAAATATATTTTGTCACAATATAAGCTTCGAGATTGAACATACTAATAAAGGATAGTGAAAAACTTCAAGATAATTATTAACATTATAAGTTTAAAGACTTTCTTATTCAACGTGTTATAATCTTTTAAAATTGACTTTACTTTTAAATTTATTCTCGTGACACATTACCTTTTTATGGTGGTGCGTGACTTTAGGAAGTTTAACGCAGCCATCTCTATGCCCTTGTCTCCAATGTATTATTTGGCATTTCCCAGAACTAACAGGAAACCGGAAAAAAATAATAATAACAGCCACAACCTTAAAAAAATTAGTCTAAACATAGCCAAGAGTTGTTAAATAAAATATCAAGTTGTTAAATAATATGAAAATGAACTTAAACAGTTTTTCTGATACTTTCAAAGAAAAGAGAAAAATAATGATAATTAAATTTTCATCATTGTACATGCATGAAAATTTGAAAATTGTTAAAAAAAACTCATAATCATATTAAGAAATAAGTGATTTGAGAACCAATCAATTGAGAAAAGAGAACATGGGGGGGGGAAAGAGGAAATTCTTTCATGAAAAAGGACAAGGAATTTGAACTAAGAAATTGATAGGAAGATCAATTTAGTTTTAAGAAAATTATTCTCATTTTCAGCCGAAACGGTTCAACCTTTAAAATAATTTTTAATATGAAACCAAACCATTTGATAGAATAAGTGATGAACCAACTTGTCAAACTGTCCAACTTAACCTAATTTTGATAATAGATTTTAGTAAAAACATAACTTTTTGTCACTGCACTTTACTCGTGTTTTGTTATAGGTCTATACATTTTTTTTTTCTTATATTCTAGGTCGACCATGAAGAAACTTAGAATACTCAAAAATGAAATTATAAAGACCTGGAATATCGAGAGAGAAAAATGCAAGGATATATGTCAAAATACGGAGAGTGTAAAATACAAAAGTTATGTTTTAGAGGGCTAACCAATATCGAGGCACTTTGCAACGAGCACACCTTGTGTCAGTTGGGGTGCGATAACATACGGTGCAAGCTGCATAACTGCACCTATGTCCACCTTCTTTAGCCAATCTCTCTTCCCTTTTCCTAAACTCTTCTGATTTAGCCTTCTCTTCTTCTAATTCTGCTAATATCACCAGCCTCCTGATTTCTTCTCTTCTCCGATCAGCTTTTCTCTTCTTCCCCAAAAAACTCAACCCTGCCCAGATTAATATTACAGCTACCGCCACTTTCAACTGCAGAAGCAAGCCGAACATTGATAGGTATATTGATATTGTCAATCAATGTTTTCTTCCTTATTTTGGGGAGCTAAAGGAATAAGCCATTGGTGCATATATATATGTTCACCGTTAATATGGTATTTAATTGCTAGGAATGGACTAAGATGCATCCTACTGGTTTCTTTTCTTTTTCCAGATTTTGTTAATTTCCACGAAACTAGTGCCATAGTCACTTTTTTTTCTTTTTAAATAAGAAATAAAGCTACCTAGAAGATGCAGAAATCATTAACAAATTATTAAGTCAACTAAGTTTATTGATCTCAGCTTGGGTCCACTTGAATAGGTCCAAGTTTGTGGCTGTTACAGTTCAGGTTGCAAAATAAAGCCAGTGTTGCAATCTATGAAATATTTAACACCTCGTATTAGATAGAAAGCAATACTTCGAAGTATATATGCTACCGTTTGTTAGTATATCTTCTAATCTGCTCAGGGACTGCAATTTCTTTTTTTTTTTTCTTTTTTTTGTATATCCTCATAAAGTTTCTTTTAATTGTGCAAAGTTATCCTTTTATTGAAAACAATCATATTCAAAACACAATCACTAAATATAAGCACCTCTCTACTAGGATTCAAACCAAAACTAATATCTTTTACTAGACCTAATTTTCATTGATTGGCATTCTTATAAAGTTAATTTGACAATTCTGTAGAGTTTTATCTTTTAGAAAGTTGAACTTTTTCAGTTGTATGTGTATGCTTAGGTAACTTCTTTCTTATAGGATAAATCACACACATCATACGAACATGCAGGACTTGATACAGAATTACACAAGTAAAACGCCCAGGTGCGAACAAACATGCTCCAGCAAAATTTCTTTACAACTGATACTTGAAAAGTTTAGAAGATCCAACTTGTGATTAGCACACAAAAGTTTGATAAAGATGGTGATCACTGCAATAGAGTCCAGGTTCTTGAGCAAAACCCTGACTCTTAAGCAGCTTCCTAGCCTTCAAAACCAGTTCTTGATTAGTGACTTGAGCATCAGTCTCTTGAATGATGATCTGAATTGCATTGCTAAAAGCGCCATATGCTTTTGCAGAATTCCCAGAAGGACTTGCATCAGCTGATTTTTGATCACTCTGGCACCCACTCATCAGAATTCCCCCATCTACAACACTATCCGTTCTGCCTCCAGCATATACCTTGTCAACAATCAAACACATCATATTGTTGGAAATTTGCAGAATAGCATTAATCAATTACAAATTCCTAACTAAAATGACATTATAAATGCTAAGTAATATTTATGTTATATTATGCATTGGATTGAAATGGATTTAGTGTAATTGAATAGACCATAATAGACTTGAATATTCAATTTGGGCATATATGTAATCAGTTATCTTATTTAAAATTGATAGGGGCATTTTGGTCATCATTATTTTTATGACCAGCAACTTTAAGTTGCTTTGTTCCAGCGAGACATTTCACTATGGCTTTCATAGTGTTCCTAGTGGGTTGCATGTTCTCTCAACCCTCATATTCTCTCAACACGCTACCAAATCTAGAGCTTCCATGGACCACCACATGTTTCAATGCAATTATTTTAATTTATTCAAAACATTATTCTACTTCAAAGTTCATACCGTATTGTAAATTCTATAAGAAGTCATGCATTCATATGAACAGTGTGACTCATCATATGCATTGTGTAATGTACAGGATTCACATCTAATTTCAAGATAAATATTGGATGAGTTGATGGTAGGTATATTGCAACATACCTCTTGGTTATTGTCTACATGTGTTTCCATGGCAGGTTCTGCATACCCTTCATTTTCATGCAGCTTATGTTTCAGAAACTTTAAGGCAAGACTTCCCACCATCCCCAACAATCCACCCTCTTGTTCTTCGCTTTCACCGCCTGATTAGTAAAATATGGAAACAGTAAGAGAAATGAAAAAAAGAAATTGTTTTTCTTCTCTGTTATGATTGTACATACCTCCATGGTGCTGTAGTTTGTTGAAGACAAACTTGATGAACTTCTTCACTTTAGGGCTAGCATCTTCCTTAAAGATATCAAAAAGGGTGAGCCTCAGCTTCCCAACATCTATATCATCTTTCCCAGTTTTCTGCTTTAGCATTTCAATCAGTGTTGAGAGAGGCAGAGACCTATTCTTCACAATCCCATCCTCCATATCCCTTTCTTCTTCGTCTTCTTCTTCTTCTTCATTGTCTTCTTCCTCATGGCGTCTTCTTCTGCTATGACGAAATGCAGAAGGGATGTGGATTCCACGAGACTCAATTGCTTCCTCCATTGTTTCAAGAAGAAATCTTCTGAATCCAAAACTAGAGCTTGAATCTTGATGATGACGGCCTTGTTCTTGTACCTTTGTGTTGGTGCTGTCTCCAATCTGCTCCTTAGCATCTCTTATGAGACCACCACTGTGGCATGAGTCAGCAACAATTGTGATCCTGCAACCTCTTGGGACTTCCTTCACGAATTCTCTGAAATCTTCATCTGTTTACATAAACAAATTTAGAATTCTGACATTTGAATCTGTGTAATGTTGCTCACTAACAGATTCTCTTTTGTGATTACTCTGTAGTCTCTGTAAGGTGATTGAATTCTGATGCTACTGTTTCTGTCATGAAGCTTATAGTTGTGATGTAAAACACACAAACTCACACTCACACTCACTGATTTGAACAGAATAGGATAAGGGAGAAGAAACAGAAACAGAGAGTGGGAGGTGGAGGGGAAGTGAGAACAGAGAAGGTGAAAAGAGAGAGAAGTGACTGAAATATGAGAGAGGGAACAGAAGAGAGACGCAGAACTAAAGGGAGAGAGGGAGCTTTTAGAAAATCATAATGCTTCAAACATTCATTCATCAATATCTCCTCTTGGATACACAAGTCATGCTATTTATAAGCATGAGATTTCCTTCCTAACAAGGAAACGTCCACTTGCTGTCTGGTTTTCCTTCAAGAAGGAAAATTACAAAAGTTAAATGAAAAGCAACAAAACTAATAAACTAATGAAAAGCAATAAAAATCTACTTGCTACCTAGTTTCCTTCATAAGAAGAAAACTTACAAAAGTTAAATGAAAAGCAACAAAACTAATAAACTAATGAAAAGTAATAAGAATAATAAATTATTTCCTCCTAAAGTAATATTTGCCATATTTTCTATTAAGTTGCTTATAAGTATTCTCGTATTGAACATGTGGATTGGTCACTAATTGTGACACACTAAATATGTTTATATATAATTTTAAAACATCAATATCAATCCATGTTCCTCTGGCCAAAAATATACATACATACATATATATATATATATATATATCCATGTTTAATATGTATAAAAAAACAGGGTCAAAATTACATAAAACTCATGAAAATCTTAAAAAGTTAAAACTTGTTGAATCTTTTTGCAAATTTAACTTAATAAATTTTTAACTTAATTATTTTTAAATATATATATTTTAATAATATTTTTTTCACTAATATTTAATGAGAAGTAAAGAAATCTTGTAATAAAAAGTTAATAATGACTTATAAATAAAACAAAAAACTTCTTCATATATTTATATAATTTATTCTTATTATTTGTCAACGAAAATTGTAACTGGAGAAGGAGGGAAAGATGGAAGAAAAGTTACCGATGATTAGATTCATATCGGAAGGAACAATGCACTCATCGTAGCCGGTGTCATCGGCGTCCCCTGTCTCGGCAGGAAGGCGAGTGCCATGGCCGCTGTAGTGTACGAACAGAACGTCTCCGGGCTCCGCCGACCGAACCATCTTCTTAATCGCCGATCGTATGTTCTTCCCGGTAGGCTGGATGCAGGAGTTATCGGTGTCGATCAAGACAGCGATATCGTCATCGGAGAATCCGTAACGCTCGATCAGGCAATCGTGCATCCTCCTTGCGTCGTTGATGCAGCCTCTCAGCTCGATCTTCGTCCCCGGATAGTTGCATCCGATCAGCACTGCTTTCTTCGCCATGGCACACAGAGAGCAACGATCAAGCACTTTCTCGCACTTTCCCTCTCAGCTGCCTCTGTTTCTCTCTGTTGACCTCTTGTATGTTTTATTCAATACTTAATACAACCAAATGTCCAAACGTCATTAATTAGTTAAATATCTCTAATTGCAATGGAAATGAAAATATATATACGTTGTAATACTTGTGTTGTTAATTGTCATTGCAGTTGGTGATATATTCCTTTAATTTTATTTATAAAATAGAGAGAGAGAGAAAAAATTAATCTTATATATAGGACATTTATTAATTTTTAATACTTCTCCTTATATTTTTCATTTATTAAATACTTTAAATAAAAATACATCAATAACATTTAAGAATATTTATTAGAGATAAAAATAAAAATTTATTAAATTTTAAAATAAAATTAATGAGATTTAAAGTTATTTTTAATTTTGGTAAAATATGAGTGACTTATAAATAAAATAAGGGGAGTACATTATAAATTATAAAACTATTTTAAATTTATTATATTTTAAATTATGCAAAACAAATCTAAATCTAAATGTATCTACCAAAAAAAGTGATTATATATAATTAAACAGAGATTAAAAAAAATTTGAAGAAAATTTCAAAGTTAGGTAATTACATGTACCCGTCATTGCTAAAATTTGCACACGCCCTTTTTGTGGTGGTGAGTGGAGACAGATTTGAGTGGTAGGATCAAATTATGATATTTTTACATACACATATTATCCATATTATATGTTTTCTACAAACTAACTAGATAGATAGGCTTGTATATTAGATTTTTAAAAAAATATATATTTGTATTATATTTAAGAAATAAGTTAAAGAGAAATTGATCTAATATAGTACATCATTTGTAAAATACTCAATAAAAACATGCCATATTATAAGATATAAATAAAATTAATTTTATCATTAATGATGATAAAGATAAGAAATTAAATAGATATCATATTCAAAAAATAAATCATTAAAAATAATGACACATAAGATTTTATTTAATTAAAATGATACAATTTTATTAGATGGTTTACAAATGACATCAGATTTACTCTTTCCATTCAAAAATGTAAGCTATTTTTAATCAAATATTACCTAATAAAATAATTAATTGTGTAACATCTCAAAATCAATTAAACTAATTAACGATAAATGTATAATTTTGAAAAAATATTTAGAGAAAAATAATATAGTTAGAAGATTATTATTTAAATCTAATTTAAAATAAAATTTCAAATCTTAATTTATGATTTTAAAAAAAAAGAATTATTTTTATTATTATTATTATTGGGAAAGTTAAAAAAAATCTAAAAGAAGGGGGGGGGGGGAACGGAAATGAGAGAGTGTGTGCGTGTGAAGGCATGTAAAGAACAAAAAAAAATGAGGCAAAGGTAGAGACGGAAGGTTGAGGTGAGGGAGCTTTTGCTGTGTGGGGCTCACGCCACATTTTTAAACTCTTATCCAATCATCTTTCCCTTGCTTCTCTTTTCATCTTCCTCCAGAGCACAAGACTTCGACAGAGAGCAAGAGAATGCAGATTGCCGGTGGAGATTTTTAATAGGTAAGCTCCATAATAAAATATTTTAAATGAGATTTTAAATATTTTAAAATTAAATAAGTATTTTAAATATTTTTCTTAATCATATTTTTTCTTGAATTATAGATTTTGAAATTATAAAAAATTTAAGGTTTGAAAGAGGGATGAATATTTGATGAATAAATTTAATTATTAAGGTTGTTGGTAATATAACAAATATTCTAATGTATTATTTTGTTGATGGAATTTGAATTTGAGGCTTGTAGGTTTCTTTGAGTAATTTTTTGTTAAATTTGAAGATATAAATTGACTTGTTGATGTTTAGATGATTATTTGGAATGAGAAATAAATTATTATGACTATGGAATAATAATTCTAGGCTTGAGACTAAGTTTGCAATTTTTTGATACTTTTAGGTGCGAATTTTTTAAATGAAAAGGAAATTTTTGATATTAGAAAATTGTTTGAATGATGATTTTAGCCAAACTTCAATGAAATTATTATGAAGGAAGCTATTGAATCAAGTAAATAAGTTCAAATATATAAAATTAAATTTTAAAATTCAAGAGGCTAAGACTAAGGTCTTAAAAAATAAAATAAAATAAAATAAATACTTAGGTGTTGGATATGAGTGAAAATTGTGTTAATATTATTATTGACACATTGGGATATAATTAATTATAGATTAATTTTCTTTTAGCACCATTCAAGATTTGAAAAAGCTTTGAAAGTGTTATAACTTAAGGGATAACTTTTAACCTCTTAAAAGTTGAGATAATTGGGGAAAATTTATTTTATGCATTTGTATATTAATTAATTATTTATATTTATAAAACAAATGAATATGTGTGTGTGTGTGTGTGTCCAAATCTTGAATTGTTGTTTGTAATGCATATTATGGCTTTGTTGAGATCCTATAATTTGTGACTTTATTAATTATGACATGATTTGATTAATGAGATTGAGTGGTTGATATTGATGTGCATACTCTTGATTATTAATTGTAGATTATGCATATTGATGAATTATATATGAGCATGTTGAGTTTTATATGATGCTAATGTGATTTATGTGATAATATAAAACTAATGCAAGAGGCATGATTAAAATATAATAATTATTGATGCTTGTTGAGCAAGAAAATTGATGAGCATGTGGGATAATTGTGAATTATATATATGAGTTTTTGAAATGCATTTTTTCATGAGCATGATCATATAAATGGCGGGAGTTCGCCTTAGTGAAGGAGCTAGCGGTTGTGCAAAATCCATATGGTACTTAGCTATTAATCGATAATCCTAAGGGTTATAGTCGCTACTTACTTTGTAAGGTACTATAGCATTATTCCTATTAAGGGACTTAAGCATATTGGCCTATTTAAAATTTTGGGTAGAGCTAGTCTTAGGTATGACACCCTATAGTGTGTGATTTGGGGGAAATCCTGGTCATAAGTGAGTAAGGTAACCCTGACTCAATAGCTTCTATGATTAAGGCTTTGAGTAGTCTCATCACATGAACTATCCTTTTCGATTATTAGTCTATGAATTTCATGTCAGAAAAAAAAAAGAGGAGATATAAGGAAAATAATGATTATGCATATTATTATTATGTCATTTGAGTGATTGATGGCTATATTTGAGAATATAATTGTAATTGTGGAAATGAAAACATGTGGTAATAATATATATGTGACTATTTGTGTCAATTTTGTACAAATATTTAGTTCTTGTGAGTAATCGTGTTAATTTTATACTTGACCTTATTCTTAAAAATATTTACATAAATTAAATGTTAATATGATTAACATGTTCTTGATATGATTGTTTACATGGTTATCTTGATGAATTTATTAGCTACTTGCATTCATAATTAATTATCATGCATTTGTATAATTTAGATGTACTGTAGGTACTGAGTGGTTATACTCACTTCTCTCTTTTAACACATTATAAGAGTTAACTCATTTGGAAAGAACAAAGGGAAGCAACATTAGGCCTAGTGATAATAATCATTTTTATAGGCCTTTCTCTTTTTATTTTAATATATGTATTTAGTTTATGATATTGCCAATTAGGATAATACATTCTAGATCTACTTGCATTATGGGTTTTGTGTTGGGTGAAAATGTGTTTGGGGCCCTTGCAAATGCAATTCGATGCTTGTGTTTATATTAATAAGTCAAAATATTTGTGTAAGTGAAAATAGTTATTATCTGCTTAACTTGAGAATTTGAATGTTGTTATGGTCTCTCCTTGTATTTTTAATATCCAAGGGTGAGTAGTTGATATTAATTATTTGTGAATAAAAAAGAAAATTCATACATATGATGGGCTATTGATGAATAGAAAATATATAGAGTATGATAACTAGATAATAGTCATTGTGATAAATGCAATTGAGACTTTGGCCCCCCGCTGTCGAGTATGGAAGGGTTTAAGTGGTCAAGTATTATATTAGTAAATATATATATATATATATATATTATATGGAGTAAGACACAGAGAAAATAAAGGGGGAAGTTTTTTTTCTCCTATATTGAGATGTGTTTTCTTAATCATGCTTCCGCATATGTTTAAATGAATGATATGAGTTCTTGAAATATTTTAAAGATTTAAGATCCCTTGGTTTTATATAGTTTGTGAAAATACATGTTAATGATTTGTTTAGATTAATCCCTTATAGAATAATTTAAGTCATAATTTAGGACACCCATTACAAATTGTCTTCAAACAAATAATATTTTTTATATTTACTCTTATTTAATAGAGTATTTTATTCTAAAATAAATAAAAAGTGGTTTATTCATTAGGGAAATTTTGTTGGGGGGGAGCAATAATTACACTCTAAAACACTAAAAATGCATTATTTTTTTAATATTTAACCTCTCAAAAAATATCTTATATTTTTTAAAGAAATACTTAGGTAGACTGAATGCACCATGTCATTTGTAATCTGTTCAATTAAAATGCTCTAAATAATTTAAATAAAATCTTATATGATATCTTTTTAATTGATTTTATTCTTATAACAGAATGCAAATTTGATTTCTTGTCTTTTCTCTCTCTATTATCATTCATATCAAAATTAATTTATTTTTAATACCTTCTAAATGTTATATTTTTATTGGATAGATCATAAATAATGTAGTGTACTCGATCAACCTAAAAATTTCTTCATATATATGGTTTTTATAAAACAAAATCATATATAAGGTAAATATAAGGGGTTTACAAACATTTTAAGGATTTAAATTTAGTTGGAAATTGAGATAAATCATAGGGGCTCAGATTAATTTTCCCTTTTGTTTATGAATCATGTTTACCTTAATTTTTTCGAAAGAATTTGGTTCCACGTTTAGAACACAAAGTGCTATTTCTTAGCTTTGGATTATATATTAAGATTCCATCATTTAATTAAATTAATAAATCCAAGTTTAATTATCAAGGTTCATCTTATTGTTATTTCTTTTTTTTATATTCTCATCTTATTGTTATTTTTATTACTTGTAAACAAATTTTTAAGCAAATTAAATTA